GGGCTACCCGAGAGGCGGGGTGGCAATAAAGTTCATGTGCGTGTAAAGGCGTCCCGATACTTCTGGCTATATAGTGTATAATGTATATAAACTTCGTCCTATGGATTATAAAATGGGTGTAAACCCGGAAATAATGTCCAATGAACGATAATCTCTATTTCCGGGCGTCTTAGAATGATAGGACGTTGTTTGTGGTATATAAAGCGTTGTGCAGCCTTCCCCCTAATGGTGGACACCACATGACAGCGTCGCCTGCACAGCCCGGAATGGAACGCATTGTGTCATTGCTGGCGATGGCGGTTGGAGACGGTCGCACAATTATCAGAGAATTTCTTACCACGCTCGGGTCGGCGACGCTTATCAATGCGTCATGTAAGGCTTCCAGCTTGTCCCACGTTCCCCCACAGAGGACGAGCCGCGCTCCAGCCGCATGGAACACCCTGGAACATTCTGCAGAACAATTGCCACTGTGAATGAAATGAATGCGTCCTTCGGACAGATTGTCGTTGTTGCATCGACTTAGGTCGTGTTCACACCATGTCTGGAGCCATCGGACTTTCAGGTGCGTTCCAGTGCGTTTGTACGCATTTTTTTATGCCTTTCCATGCGACCCAGACCAGACGAAATGAGACAAGAAGTATATTTTTTTTGTCTGGACCGGAAAGGACTTTGCTTTGTATTGCGTTTACCATCTGCAGTCTCACGAAGCAATTGGCCCCAATCACAATCGTGTTGCGTTCCAGAGCGGTAGCTGCTGGAACGCACCGCAATCGCTCACAAAACTTCCCCCTGCGTTCCGGGGCGGGAGGGGGGTGTGGCGGTGCATTGAAGTCAATGGCCCATTCGCCGCCCGCAGTGCACATCGATACCTGCGTCTCAGTCGAGTGCGATCAGAACAAATAGCACGTGCAGCATTTTGCGCGATCCCTCTGGACCAGTGCCCAGCGTTCTTGTGCGGGGGCGATCGCGGGCCATTGACTTCAATGCATTGCCACGCCCCCTCCCGCCCCGGAACGCAGGGCGCGATACAGTGCGTTCCAGCAGCTATCCGTCCTGGAACGCACTGCATATGGCGTGAACAAGCCCGACATTTTTTATTTAGCAGACAGAATAAGGAAAAGTGAAAGCTGAAGTTTAATGTACTGAATGAACTGACTGACGCCGAACTGACTGACGCCGAACTGACTGACGCCGAACTGACTGACGCCGAACTGACTGACGCTGAACTGACTGACGCTGAACTGACTGACACTGTACTGACTGACACTGTACTGACTGACGCTGAACTGACTGACTCTGAACTGACTGACACTGACGCTGAACTGACTGACACTGTACTGACTGACGCTGAACTGACTAACGCCGAACTGACTGACGCCGAACTGACTGACGCTGAACTGACTGACACTGTACTGACTGACACTGTACTGACTGACGCTGAACTGACTGACTCTGAACTGACTGACACTGACGCTGAACTGACTGACACTGTACTGACTGACGCTGAACTGACTGACACTGTACTGACTGATGCCGAACTGACTGACACTGAACACCAAATATAAAACAAAGGATAATAAAGAGAAGGAGGAGGAGCCGAGACCGACCTTTTCCCAGCCCGGATACGGCATCCGTAATGACAACCACTTTATTCTTCAAGGCGGACCGAGACATCAGCCGCACAACCTCCCGATAGATATAGATAATTCCGCTGATTCCCAGGATGAGCAACGGCAATATCAGAAATGCCAGAAACCCCATATCTGCCCTCCATGGAAGAGAAAGAGAGAGAGACAGATAGACAGACAGATAGACAGACAGATAGACAGACAGATTTTTAAAATAATCACATTTTGTTTCTTTGCAGCCTGAAATGAAGACAGGGACAGTTGTTGTTTTATCCAGCTGTATTTACTCAGCGCAACTTATAACATCCAAGTGAAAGATAGAACACCGGCATGTCAGAAGAAGGATCGCCCCTTCCGGTGTCAGTATTTTGCTCCTGCTCCTCCTCCTCTCCTCCGCAGGACGGCTCCTCTTCCTCCTCTCCTCCGCAGGATGGCTCCTCCTCCTCCTCCGCAGGACGGCTCCTCCTCCTCTTCTCTGCAGGACGGCTCCTCCTCCTCTCCTCCGCAGGACGGCTCCTCTTCCTCCTCTCCTCCGCAGGATGGCTCCTCCTCCTCCTCCGCAGGACGGCTCCTCCTCCTCTTCTCTGCAGGACGGCTCCTCCTCCTCTCCTCCGCAGGACGGCTCCTCTTCCTCCTCTCCTCCGCAGGATGGCTCCTCCTCCTCCTCCGCAGGACGGCTCCTCCTCCTCCTCTCCTCCGCAGGACGCCTCCTCCACCCCCTCTCCTCCGCAGGGCGGCTCCTCTCCTCCGCAGGGCGGCTCCGCCTCCTCTCCTCCGCAGGGCGGCTCCTCGGGGGCGGTGACATTGGATGGTGACAGTGTGCGGACGGCAGTCTTCAAGTCACTCCACAGATTTTCAATGGGATTTAAGTCTGGGCTCCTCCTCTCCTCCGCAGGACGGCTCCTCCTCCTCCTCTCCTCCGCAGGGTGGCTTCTCTCCTCCGCAGGGTGGCTCCTCCTCCTCTCCTCCGCAGGGCCGCTCCTAGGGGGCGGTGACATTGGATGGGGACGGTGTGCGGACGGCAGTCTTCAGGTCACTCCACAGATTTTCAATGGGATTTAAGTCTGGGCTCTGACTAGGCCATGCCAGGACATCCCCCTTCTTCTCCTTCATCCTCTGTGGGGTGATGGTTGTTGTGTGATTTGGGTCATTGTCATGTTGGGGGGGAGGGGGGGCAACTTCTTCCCAGATTCTCCTATTTTGCCCCATTCTTCCTTCTATCCCTATTACCACCACCATGCTTCCATGCTGTACTGTAGGAATGGTGTTATTTGGATGGGGAGCTGTATTGGATTTCTATGGGAGTGACAACCCTCCCATACTGGAGGATTTGTGATATTGTTGTCACACAATGACCGCTCTTTGTCATCAGTTCCTGCAATAGTCCTCCCTGATCAGTTTCCTCCAGTTTGGAGCGACGCCCTG